GGAAAAGGGTTTTTTTTTTTTTTTTTTTTTTTTTTTTTTTTTTAAGAAAAAACGGGAGGAAAGACTTGGGGGCCCAAATTAACGTTAATTTTTTTTTTCCATAACCGATTTTTAGGGGAGGCGGTGGTTTTTGGCCGAAATATATATAAAAAAAAAAACCTTTGGCCCATTGGGGGGGGTTTTGTTTTTTTTCCCCGGATTTTTTTTTTTCCCCTTTTTTTTTTTTTTTTTTTTTTTTTTTTCTTTTTTTAATTTTTTATTGTTTTAGGTATATTTTGTTTGTAAAGTAAACCCGTTCATAAAAAAAAAAAAAATATTTTAATTAATTTTTTAATAGGGATAATTTTTTTTTTTTTTTTTTTTTTTTTTCTCCCCCATTTTCTCTTCATTCTTATTAATTTAAAAAAAAAAAAATACTAATAAACATTAACTTGGAATTTTTATTGTAAAAAAATTATTTAAAAAAAAAATTAAAGTTTTGGAAAAAATTTAAACGAAAAAAAGTTGATTGGAATTTTATTAATTGGCATAAAGTGCAATTTTTTCATCATTTGGACTCCATTAAAGGAAACAAAAAACAAAAAAAAAAAAAATAATTTTGGCTTTATTTAAAATAAATAAATAAATAATTAAAAAAAAATTTAATAATATTTTATGAAATTCATTTCGAAAAAGAAAAATAAAAATTATTGTAAAGTAGTATATTAACCACACAAAGATAAAAAGTTATGATAAAATATTTTATGATTTATGATTTTTTTTTATCAGTGTTGACTTGAAACTTTTGTGAGTTTTATTTTTTTTTTTTTTTTTTTTTTTAGTTTTTCTTTTCTTTTGTTTTTATACATATATAAATATATATATTATTATTATTATTATTTGATACTTTTAAATAAATAAATAAAAATTCAGTTATTATTAAATAAAAAAAAATTTTGAAGAAAAAAATAAAATAAAAAATTTAATTAATCATCGAATTTTGAAAATTGTTTTTTTTTTTTTTTAAAAAACTAATAATTGTAAATATTGTTATTATTAACTAACGTACTAAAAAATTAGTCGGTTAAAAATGTTAATTTCTTATCAACTCTTATTATTAACTAACTTCTTATAACTTTTATTAAAAAAAATGTTATTTAATTTATATATATATTTAAAATTATTATTATTTATTGTTTTTATAACCTTTTTACAAGTTTACACGGATTTTCCTTTCGATAATTTTCTTTTTCGAATCGTCGATCGATCGATTGATCGATTGGTAAGAAAAAAAGAAAAAATGAAAAATTAATTAAAATTGCATTGTATTTTTTTATTAATTTGATAAATAACTATAAACAAATTTTTTAATAATAATATTAACAACAACAACAATAATAATAATAATATTTAAAATGTTTTAGGTGATAATTATATTTAAGCTACAGCAGCAGCAGCAGCAGCAGCAAAAGGTTTGTTTCTCGGTTCAAGACGAATTTTAAATCCTTCGGCTCTCTTAAGGATAATATCAGCTTGAAGTTGATAATCCTTTTCGGCAATGTTGGAATGAACTCTAAATTTACGAAGAATTGTCGAAAGGAGGATTTTTAATTTCAACATGGCGTATTTTCGTCCTGTAATAAAACAAAAGGAAAAAGTTGAATTCATATGAATTTAATGAATTTAAATTTTGTTTTAAAAAATTTTTTTTTTTTTTTTTTACTCACCTACGCAACTTCTCGGACCAGCTGAGAAAGGTATAAATGCGTAGTAATGTCTGTTAGCTGATTTTTCCGGCAAGAAATTATCCGGATCAAATTTTTCTGGGTTTGGATAAATGTTGGCATCTCTGTGAAGTCTGTATGTGGCTACGACGACGGTAGTACCGGCTGGAATTGTGTAATCTCCAGATTCTACGACAAAAATTTTTATTAAATGAAATTTTCACGTCGAAAAACGTTAAATTATTTAAATTGAATTTTACCGAGTTTAAGATCTTCGTTGATTTGTCTAGCGATCAATGGGACTGGTGGGTACATTCTTAATGTTTCCATAATACATCTTTCTAAATATTTCATTTCAAGAGTGTCTTGGAAAGTTGCAGGTCTGTCGGAATCTCCAAAAATTTCATTTAATTCTTCAACAATTTTTTCTTGTATATCTTGATGAAGACCCATCAATGATAAGAAGAAACTACTTCCGGCAGCAGTCGTGTCGTGACCCTATTAATTTAAAATCATCAATTTAAACCGAAAAATTTTAATAATAATAATAATTTTTTTTTTTTTTGTAAATTAGGTAATTCGATTACTTCAAACATGATGGTATCAACTTCTTCTTTAATATCATTATCATTCATGACGACACCACTTTGAGCTGATTCGATCATCAAATCCAAAAATGCCATTCTTTTCTTTTCACCTTAAATATTATTATTATTATTATTTAAATTAAATTTTTGGTCACGGTTATGAATAGTCGCCATTAATTTATTTTCACTTACCGACATCGTTGTCATCGACGTCCAAATCATCTTTCAAACCGGCAGATTGACCGTAAGAATGTGCAGAAGCAGCAACTTCAGATGATTTACCTTTAAATTGTTCGGTTGTTTGTTCCATATCGGAAACGGATGCCAATGTTTTCTTTATTCCAGAATTCCATTCTTCTTTCTTCTTTTTGATAACCTTTATCATAAAAAATTTATCGTTAAGTTTTTAGTTTATTATTTAAAATTTTCTTCTTTTTATTTCTTTTTACCTTTTTGGTCAAACTGTGAATGATGTCCAAAAGAGATTCTTGTTCTTTTTTATATTTTGTCATGTTGAAAATAACATCGGGTTTAAGCCAGAATTTTCTGTGACGAAGATGTAAAATGTTGCACATTCTGAAAAACAAAAAATTATTATTATTATTTAAATAAAATCTCGAGTAGAAATATATTTAAAAAAAAAAAAAAAAAAACAAACTTCATAACGGCCATGGCATATTCGTATCCGCTTTTATCTTGTGTTTTCTTATTGACTCCCATAGCAGTTTCTGTATGGAGAAAAATGATAAATTACGTTTTTAAATTTTTTTTTTAAATATGAAATATTATTATTATTATTATTATATTCTCACCTAATAAAATTTCAACGGTAGCTTCACTCATGTAATCATGACAATCAAATTCTTTACCATTTAAAGAATTCATTTTATCACAAACGGCTCTCGAATTTTGATTGAACAAAGTAATGAAAGATTTCAATACGTTCAAGTGAAAAGTTGGTGCGATTAATTTCCTGTGGGATCTCCAATGGGATCCAGTAGATATTAAAAGACCGTTACCGAGCCAAGGTTTAAAAAATTTATATTCTGATGCTTTGTCGATGTGAACGTTGCTTCCCAAAATCAACTAAAACAATCAATCGATCGATTTTTAATTAATTAATTTTTCTTTTTTTTGTTAAATAGGTAATAGGTAATAAATTTACCTCGATATCTTTCGGATTGATCAAGAAAACGACAAGTTTTGAACCGATCCAAAATTTACAAACGTCCGTAAAAGTGTTACTGTGACTGTAAACATGTTTAAAAATGGCCGGAGCTTCACCGATGAATTCAAAAGCGTTTCCAAAAAGCGGAATACCTGGTGGACCGGGTAATTTTTCCGCTAATTCGTACATGCGTCTTCTGCTTATTTTAAAATACGCATACCAGAGTACCAAAGTCGATACGACCAATGAATAAAAAATAAACGATGCCGAATAGCCTACCGGCGTTTCGGGTGATATCACAGTACTTGTCATTCTGAAAATAATAATAATAATAATTTATCTTACGTTTCAGGTACGACGAAAAATTCAATTTAAAACAAACAAACAAACGGTGAAAAATATTCTTACTTAATTTGTTGTTGTGGTGCACGACACCAATGACGAGAACCGAGTGTTTTGTTATCAGTTGGTGAGTTTCTTTTATTAATAAAGAAAACCGGCGGAAGTGATAATCGTATACAATGACCTTTGACATCCCTACGATGATAATCGATGATCCAGGTAAATTCTTATGCTAATTTAATGACGACAATATAAATAATTAATAAATCTGAAATTTTTATTATTATTATTATTACTATTATTCGTTCGATTAATAAACAATAATAATGATAATTAAATCACTTGATTAATAAACATTAAACCATTTTTTTTTTTTTTTTTTACGTAATTTGTAGAAATTTTTTTTTTTGTTTTTTTTTTTTTTTTTTTGGAAAAATTACATTAATAATAACAATAATAATAATTTTACTTTCTCATCTCGCTAAATTTTCTTTTTCCTTTTTCATCTTCGAAAGGATTCTGCGAATTTCTTTTTTTTTTTTTTTTTTTTTTTTTTTTTTGTCTCTCATCTGTCTGGGTTTGAAAAACGTTAAGACCGTCGTAAAATTCATTGAACGTGTGTATGTGTGTGCGTGCGTGTGCGCCTTTATAAATAATAATAATAATTATTAATCTATTAAACGTTTTTTTTTTCTTTTGTCGTCTGCTGGTATTTTACGAAATAAATAAAATATTTATTTTATGAATCATTCGTTGCATGTTCGCTCGGATTTAAAAAAATTTTATAAATATTTTTAAACACATAAAAAAAAAAAAGTTTTGTTTTCCCATTTTGATAAACGCATGTGCAAAACTTTTTTATATTTTCAAATAAAAAAAAGAAAAAACATTTTCTTCTTTTCTTTTACTCTTTTTCCGGGAACCTTTTTTTTTTAAATTGATGCTGTCGTGTAAAAGAAATCTTTTTCATCTTCTTATTCTTCATCATCATCTTTAGTTCATCGTGTTGTGCTTTTTTATTCTTTGGGTTTTTTTTTTTAGTTTTCCCGCGTCTTTTATATATTTTTGTGTTATTTTGAATATTAACAAAAAAAACAAATAAAGTTTTTCCTTTTTTTCTAAAATATAGAAAAACAAAAAAAGGAAAATTTTTTTCGTTGGAATGATTTTTTTTATTTTATTCTCATATTTTGGACTCATGGTCACGTTTCAGTTACCCACCGGTAAGTTTAATTATTATTATTATCATTATTAGCAAGTTAAAAAAAAATGTTTTTTTTGTTTTTCCAGTACCCGACAATAATAATAATAATTTTTTTCCCGGTTATTTTTTAAATACATGAAAATAAAAACGAAAAACAGGAAAAGATTTAAAAAAAAAAAAATTTTCCAAAAGTTTTCTTTTGTTAATTTTATCATTCTTCCCCTTTCTCCCTCCCCTCTTTCCTCTCTTCCCCTCTCTCCCTTAAATTTTACAATTTAGATTTTGTTTTTCCATCCTTTTCTAGTCTGTCCTGGTTTTTTTTTTTATTATTTTACCTATTATTTCTAACGTGGTTTTTCGTGTCGTAAAGTGATTTTTTTTTTTTTATTATAGCCCCACATAAAACCATTAAATGATCCGTCGCGACGACGTACAATTCCAGACAAAACAAATCAATTTTTTTTTTATTTTATTCACAGTTTTTTTTTTTTTTTTTTTTTTTTTCATCCTACCGTAGTATTAATAATGATAATAATAATTTATTAATATCATATTTCAAGGGTCTTTAGGTTCTACTTTAACTTGCATTCACGGAGGTATTAAATACAAAGAAGGAGATTATTTTCCACAAAATAAAACTTTTATCAAACCGGAAAATCCGTTACAATGCGTACAATGTAGATGCCATCAGGGTTTAGTCGTTTGCGAAGTAAGTTATTCATATATGTTTAATAAACGTTCACTACCAAACTTATTAATTATTTATTTATTAACTATATTTGCAGGTTGAAAATTGTTTAAATTTAAATTGTAACAAACCTAAAAAATATTCACGGTTTTGTTGTCTTCAATGTCCTGGAGAAGGTTGGTTGGACAAAAAAATAAAATTTTTTTTTTTAAAGAATTTTTCTTTATTATTATTATCATTATTATTTGTTTAATTAGGACAAACGAACGTTTACGAAGAACGTTCGGATTTTACATTCGATCAAAACAACAACAACGAGGATGAGGATGATGATGATGATGATTACGTGAAGAAAAGAAAAAAAAATATCGATTGTAACATAAACGACGAGTGAGTACGTTATTATTATTATTATTAATATTGAGTTTGTGATTAATAAATAAATAAATAGGCATTACGTGAACGGTTCGATTTGGCAACCTGTCATCGGTCCTTTTGGTATAATGGCCTGCGTTCAATGCGAATGTAAAGAAGGAAACGTCGTCTGCGGAAGAATCAAATGCAATCATCAACCATGTTCAAATCCTGTTAAAGAATTCGGAGAATGTTGTCCCGTTTGTCCTAAGACAACAGGTGATGACGTCATTAATTATTATCATTATCGAAATTAATTAATTAATAATTTATAGTTTATTAAAAAAAAAAAAAAATTTCAGTTTCAGTTGGTTGTTTACCGAAAGGCTCCGAAATTTTTTTTTACAAATCATCAAAATTTGAAAATAAATCTTCGACTATTATTGTAAGTTTTTTATTAATAATTTTTTATTTAAAGTTAATAAATAAATAAAATTTTATTAATAAAATTTTTTTTTCCAGTACGGGTTTAAAGAAAACAATTATGGAAAAGAAAACGAATTCTATGATTTGTTCATATGGAAAATATTACCGGAAAATTCATTGAATAATTTCAAAAAGAAAAAAATAAATAAAGAAAAATTTAATAAATTAAATTTTCAATTGTTTGGATCAGTAAGTCAAAGTAAGTAATCATTATTATTATTATTATTATTATTAATATTATTTAAAAGAAAGGACTAACGTAGAAAGAAAAGAAAAGAAAAAATTTTTAATTGGTTACCTGTTGAATTAAATTTCAATAAGCGATTCGAAAAAAAAAAAAAAAAAGAAAAATTCTAATTAAAAAAACTAATTTAATCGACTTGAAATTTAAATTTTTCTTTTTTTTTAATTTTTGTTTGTTGTTTGTTTGTTTGTTTGTTTGTTTTTTAGAAAGATATAAAAAATTTATTCAAAGAACGGGAAAACTACAGGGAAAATGTTTCGTACAATGTTATAAAAAAATTAAAAGACTCGAAAAATTACTCGGAATATTTTCGGTTGTTTACAAATCGAAATGCGACGATAAAAACGAATTCGATATATCGAATATTTAAATTTTTCATTCGATTATTATTATTATTATTATCATCATCATCATTATTATTATTAATTCACGCAAAAATTAAAAAAAAAAAAAATGCTTCGATTGTATTCGTTTTGTATTATTTGTAAAACGTGTGTTTTCGTAACGATACGCGCCCGCTCTCTCACGTTCAAACGATTATTATTATTATTATTTTATTACCATTAATTACTATTATTATTATTATTCGTTCATTCATTTAAAAATTTTAACGCTCGATTACTTGAGAGTGTTGTTAAATTTATAATTACAAAAAAAAAGGAAAAAGTTTTTTAAAACGAACCCGTCAATAAATAAATAAAATTACGATTGTGTATTGTGCGTTATTAAATATTTATTACTCATTATATATATAATTAATTTATTACGTAATATTAAATTAATAATAATAATAATTAAAAATTTTAGTCTCGTTAGTTTATTAGTGTAATAGTAATAATAATAATATAATTAATAAACGTGTTGTGAGTTTTATTTAAATAAATGTGTGTTTAATTAAATTTTTTAGCAAAGTAATTTAATTTATTTTGTATTCTACGATTTGTGAAAAAATTATTACGTAATAATAATAATAATAATAATAATAAATAAATAATTTTACGGTTTTTTTTCACGCGGTTTTTTTACGCGACATATTATTTATTTTAAATAGGAAAATTTCTAGAAAAAAAATTATGATAGATATGATCAAACCGTATAGGAAAATAATAAAAATTGAATTTATTTCGTTGTAACCCACGCTTATAAATGTTGCTCTATCCATGTTACATTTTGGCTTTTCATCCGACCATTTTTTTATCGTTCTATCAAACATTCCAGTTTCTTGTTGCCAAACGAGCCTGTTTGTGAAACATTCGGCAAACAATATTAATAATAATGATTAATTAATTGAATTAAATCGGAGTTACGTAATAATAATAATACCTTTGTGCAAAAATTTCTCTATAAGATGATGTTTTACTAACGGCCATACAAACAAAAGGTTTCGGTACGAGAAGAATTTCTTTAATTCCACATTTTTCATGATCTTTAAATGTTTGACTTATTAATTTATAACCAGCGTTAAGTTCGATCTGAAAAAATAAAATAAAATAAAATTTTATGTATAATAACGGTATATGTGAAAGAGAGAGAGGGGGGGGGAAAAAGTTTTTATTTTTATTTGCTAACCTCAAAAGCAAATAATCCAGTTCTTATTTTGTTTATTCCTTCTCTTTGTTCGAAATAAACATTTTCTCGTCCTTTGTTAAATATTTTTTTTTTATAGTATTCTTTAGTTATTCTATGAGATGCTTCCTGTAATCAACCATAAAAAAAAAGTTTTTTATTTATTTTTTTATTTATTTTTTTTTCTGGTTAAATAAGAAGGTAAATAAGGTGAGGAGGAAAGTGAGGAAAGTGAGGAAAATTTTTTTTTAATTCCCTGATAATCAACTACAGCAGCCGTGATTATCATTAATATTTAATTTAGTCAACCTTCATAAGAACGTCCAAATATGGAAAATGTGCCTGAACACCAACTTCTAAATTACTTGAAGTTACATCTTCGATTGTAGAAATGGCCGAACTCGATGATTGTAAAAATGTAACGATACTCGCTGAATAAGCAAAATATAATATTAATGCAGTTAATAAAAGAAATGATATGATCACGCGATCGGATGTCCATTTTGAATTTTCCGTTAAACCTTTAAAATATAAATAAATTTAAAATTTATTTTTTCCGGGTTTCCCCGGAAAAAACTTAATTTATTATCATTATTGTTAGTATCGTTTTAAATAAATACCTTGTTGGCATATGGCGCCGAGAATTTGCATACATAATTCCGATATATTTCTCAATTTCATTTTTTTAAATAAAAATTTTTTTATTATTATTTCTCTGAGTCTCATGAAAATAATAATGATGATGAATAAAATACCGATGGATATCCAAACCGTACCGGTAAATGGTAAAATGAAAATGTTTTTAACGGTGGGTAACGATGGTTCTTTAAAAACGAGACCGACTCTGCGAAAAAAATTAATTAATTAATTTTTGGCGGGAAAAATAATTTGAAATAGAAAGAGGGGAGGACATTAACCCTAAACGAAAAGGACAAATTATATAATCAACGATTCCGAATCTATCGGATCTTAAAAGGACTCCTGTCGCGCTTATTTCTGATTTTTTTTCTTGGATCGATCCCATCAAATGTCCAAAACTTCCATTTTTTATGTAACCGACATCGTTAAAATATCGAATTATCGATCTGAAACACACAAAAAAAAATAAATTTAAAACCTTTCCCCCTCTCCCCCTCCCTTCCTTTCCCTTTCTTCCCTCCCCGCTTTTTTTTTCCTGGAGTTAAATTATAGTAAAATTTTTAAAGTTTTTCTTTTCTTTTTTTTTCCTTCCTTCTGATTTTCTTTTCCTTTTAACTTTTTTTTTTCTTTTTTCTTTTTCTTTTCCTTTTTTTTCTCGAGAAAATGTCCGAAAATCACGTCATCGCGAATTTGATTTAAACGGAAAATTAGAAAGAGAAAAAAAAAAAGTTTTGCACAAAAAAAAAGTTTTTCCCCCCAAAAAAAAAAAAGAAAAATTTTTTTGCAGAAATTTGCTCGGGATTTGAATTCGTAATAATAATAAAATTTATTTTATTTTTTTCTAAACCTCACCGTTAAGGTTTTCAGGTTTTATTATTATTATTATTATTATTATCATTACGAATTAAAATTAAAAAAATTAAACGAAATAAATTACAAAGGTTTAAAAATTTTAGTGGTAAACCAACTACAAGCAATTCATTTTTTTTTCGGACTTTTTCTTTTTTTTTTCCCACCTAAAACATTTAATTTTCTATAAAAAAAAAAAATCTCTCTTTCTCTCTCTCTCTCTTCCTCCTCCTCCTCCCTTTTTTTTTATTGCGTTCCTCTGAGATCTCCACGAATTCGTTTTACGTTTATTTTTTTTTCCCGTTTTTAGTTTCCCTTTTTTTTTTTTTGATGCATTTACCGTTTTATTAAAAAAAAAAAAAAAAAAAAATTTTTTTTTGGGGGGCAAAAATGTTTTCCCTTTTGGATATCCATTCACATTCACTTTTCTCTTACGTATAAATATTTTTACATTTGCTCCAGTAACAACAGCAACAACAACAACAAACTTGCTTCAAGCAATAAAATATTTATTATTTATATATGTAAAAAAACTTTTTTTTTTTTTGTTTAAAAGAGAGAGAGAGGGGGGAGAGGGGGAAAGAGAGAGATAGATAAATGATAAATTACCTAAAATTTAAATCTTGTTCTAATATTTTAACATGTTCGTAAACCATTTTTGCCCAAACGTCAACTTCTCTACTCGATACGTCATCAATAGTCGTAAATGCTTTCGGTTGAAATGCCTGATTAATAATAAAAAAAATTAATTAATTAATTAAAAATAATTATGATTATATTTTACCTACCGTCGCTCCTGCTCTTATCAGTGAACCCATAAAATTTTTTCTTATTATCGTATCGTTTATTTTAAATAAACAATCATCGTTTTTTTCGTAAAAAACGATTCCATTTTCATCAATTTTAGGATTTGATCGAGATGTGACTTTATATATCTCATATAAATTATATAAAATTTTACTGTTATCAAAACCAGGTACGGATAATGTAACTTTGTTATCTAATAAAAGTGTCAGATGTAATATTTGATTTATATCCGTTTCATTGACGTTTAATTTTACTTTTCTATTATTATTATTATTATTTTTTCCTTTTTCCCCTTTTTCGGTTTCGTTAAAAAAAAAATCAAAATTGACTTTTTTATTTATAACAAATAATTCATTTTCAAATTTTTTATCATCGTAGGATTCCATTAAAAAATCCAATGGATTATTATCATCCTTTAAATAAACGTAATCATTTACCATAGTAATTAATTGTTTTCGTGTCACGTGATTATTTGTAAATATAAGCCAATGTATGGGTGCAAATTCGTATATGAATAAATTTTTTTCGCTCGCCTGTAATTAATGTAAAAAATCGTTAAATAATGATGATGATGTCGATCGTTTTGTGGGGAGAGGAGAGGAAAGAGGGGAGGGGAGGGAGTAAATCGTACTTTTTGTAAAAATGTCATGGATCGAGGGCATTTTAAATCGACGATAATTCCAATTTTTAATAATTTCCATTGGAAAATATCAAAAGAAAAATTATTAAAATCATTAAAATTATTAAGATCGTAATAATTAAATTGTATTTTTTTTTTCGAAAACATTTTGTTGAGTTTAATATTATCGTAATCATTATTATTATTATCATCTGAAAAAAATAAAAAAACAAAATGTCGTTTAACAAGTGAAATTTTTTTTTCCTCCTTTTTCCCCTTTTTTCCTTTTTTTTTTTTTTTGTTAAATTAAAAAAAAAGAACAAGAGGAAAATAAAGAAGGGAAAAATAAAAAAAAACGATTTACCTTCGTAATTACATAGCGTTGACGTCACAAAATTTACGTTTTTTATATAAAAATATTCGACTATAAATTCGCGTCGACATTTTTCCAAATTTTTCGATAAAACTTTTAATATGAAAAAGTTATAAAGTAAAAATAAAATAAAATAAAAAATATTTATAAAACTTTTCTTTTTCATGTTCGATGATGATAACACAAACATAAAAAAAGAGGGAAAAATCTCTGGTCAGTTTTCCCTACTCCCCCTCTTCCACCCCCCCCCAAAAAAAAGAAGAAAAATTGGAGTCACGCAAATGTGAGAAAAATTTTCTTTTTTTTTTTTTTTTTTGGTTCCAGGTGAATTTTCTTTTAAATTTTCCCACATTATTTAATTATTATTATTATTAATCTTAAAAAAAAAAAAACGAATGAAAATTTTTTTGTAAAATTGTTGATGACCGAAATAAGAAAAAAAAGTAAACAAAAAAATTTTTTATGTTTATTTAAATGATGACGTCATAAATTTAAATCATATATTAATGAAAGAACAATTTTCAATTTTCTTTTCTTTTCTTTTGTTTTCTCACCCCCTCCCTCCCGCTTTTTTTTTTTTTTTACGTGTTTGAATTTGATTTTAAGGAAATATTCAACGCGGATTTAACGTATGCGAAAAAAAAAAAATGTAAAATTTCACCTTTGAATACGCATTTCCGTAACTATTAAAAAATTTTCCGATTATTTTTTACGTCAATCGTAATATTAATTCATTTGAATTTTGTCCCCCCCCTTTTTTTAACGTACGTCACGATCGTGAATTTTCTAGAAATTTCCTCCCACCTCCTCCTACCGTCGACGTTTTAATAAAAACCGAAGGGGACGAGAAGGGGGAGGTAAAAAAAAAAAAACTAACGTAATTTTAATGAATAAAAATAATTTTTTTTTATTTAGGTCAAATTTATTATTATTATTATTATTATTATTATTATTATTATTAGGGAAAAAAAGGGTAATAATTTGTACACACCGATGGCGACTGGAAAAACTGACAAATTAGTTCTCCAGTTTTCTTTTTTTTTTTTTAAAGAATGAATTTTCAAATAGCATGACTTTGGTTCATTAATCCAAAAACACAAAAAAAAAATAAAACGACGACGATGTTGAAAAAATGAATTATGTTTAGAAAACATAAAAGTCACAAAGTTTTCCGTTTGTGTTTTTATGTTTTGTGTTTTTGTTTTGTGTTTTTAAATTGATTTCGAATGATGAAAAGAAAA